ACTAAGCTAATGACATGAAATTAAACTAATTAAACTAAGGGAGAGGTATAATCCATCAAGAAATGAGTATAAACCAGCAAATAAACCACAAGAACATGTCATTAAGCACTATGTCTTAACAATCTCTAGATTTATAGCATCAATATACATAAATATGCATCAATAACACAAGAAATAGAGACAAACACATGAACATCTATTCTAGCATACATAGATATATTGATAGAATGAAATGATCAATTGGAAGCATTAAACCACATAAATCATTGAATAAACAAGAACTATATATATAAAAGTATCAAGACATGAATCATAATACAAATCCCCTCAAAAATACATAAATCAAGAAGTAGAAAGCATGCTTAGGGCTAACTCTAGCCCCAAGAGGATGTCTAGCCACTCATGGATGATGTCCTCCAACCCTCAAGGGCAAGCTCCATGGAAGAAATCTACTCCTTGGTTGATGAAGAGTCTCCAATGGTGTCTCTAGCCTCCTCCTCTCCTTTGCTTCCTCACTAAGTATTATCTTCTCTAAGTATGTGTATATGTGTAAAAGTAGTTCATACTCCTTATATAGGTTGGTCAAAAATCACCCCAAAATGAGCTGGGCTTGTACACCAATAATCCTCTAATGATTGGATATGAGACAACTTTTAATGAGCTGGAATTTAGATTTTTCTCGGGATTTGGGAAGTTCGATCGATCGAACTTGAGGTGAGATCAATCGAACATGGCTGAGATCTATCGAATTGAAGCTGGATCGATCCTCAATGGCGGCGCCTTTTTGGATAAAAATAAATCTGAGATATTTTGAAGATATTTTTGGGAAAATGACAAAAGTGGTTGGTAGGGTGGTACAGCTGGATAAGATTTGGCATGTGGATAAGGACAAGAAAGTTCGATCGATCAGAAAATGATGTTGGATCGATCGAAATTTTGGGATCTCTGAAGATGACATCATGGCCTAGATCTATCTTGGAGTGCTGAGATCGATGAAAGTTGGATTGATCAAACTTTTCTTGAGATCGATCTAAGTTGCTGAAATTCCACCTTTTGCTTCTTTTTGCTCTACTTTGCTCATTTCTTTGATTCATCCAAGAATTGTTTCAATTATGTTCTTATTTAGCTGAGTTAGCTTATTTTGGGGATAAGTACCTGAAAATGGAAATAATACGAAATCAATACAAAACGGGAAAATAAGATAGATAAATGTTCTAGAATACCTAAGCTTAAGGGGTTTAAATACGCACTTTTCAGCGCTCATCATAGTTTGTGCAATGCTCCCGCAACATTCCAAAGGTGTATGATATCAATTTTCTCGGACATGGTGGAAGAGTATCTAGAGGTTTTTATGGATGATTTTTCTATCTTTGGATTTTCATTTGATGCATACTTAAAAAATATAAATTTGGTGCTTAAAAGATGTCGTGAAACAAACCTTATTCTTAGTTAGGAAAAGAGCCACTTTATGGTTCAAGAAGGTATTATTTTGGGTCATGTCATCTCGAAAAGGGGAATTGAGGTTGATAAAGCGAAAGTTGAGCTCATTTATGAATTATCTCCATCTTCTTAGGTGCGAGAGGTTCGCTCCTTTTTAGGTTATACTAGCTTCTATCGCCGTTTCATCAAAGACTCTAGCAAAATTGCTAGACCCTTGTGCAATCTTCTTGCCAAGGAAACTCCATTTGTCTTTGATCAAGCATGCCTTGATGCTTTTCATAAATTGCATGACTTATTGTCATCTGCTCCTATTATGCAACCTCCCAATTGGTCCTTACCATTTGAAATCATGTGTGATGTCTCTGACTATGCCATGGGAGCAGTTTTGGAGCAAAGGGTAGGAAAACTTCTATGCGCTGTATACTATGCAAGCAAGACCCTTTCGGGAGCTCAATTGAATTACTCCATTACCGAAAAGGAATTACTTGCCGTAGTGTATGCTTGATAAATTTCGGTCCTATCTCTTAAGGTCAAAAGTCATTGTCTATTCCGATCATGCTACTTTGAGGCACCTTTTGACTAAGAAGGAAACAAAGCATTGTTTGATAAGATGGATTTTTCTTCTTCAAGAATTTGATTTTGAAATCAACGATAAGAAAGGCACCAAAAATGTGGTTGTCGATCATCTTTCAAGATTAGTGGTAGAATCTTTCCCTAGCCCACCAATTCATGATTCATTTCCGGATGAATAACTCTTCCAAGTTTCTAATGGACAAATGCCTTGGTTTGCCGACATCGTGAATTTTTTTACAATTGGCAAGCTTCCGACCAATTGGTCAAAGTAAGCAAAGAAGCGTTTCTTTGCTAACATCCGGAATTACTATTGGGAAGATCCTGTCATGTTTCGATATTGTCCAGATCAAATTGTGAGAAGGTGCATTCTAGAAAGTGAAATTCCAAGTGTGCTTGTGTTTTGCCATACCCTTGTATGCGGTGGGCATTTTAGTGCAAAGAAGACCGCTTTGAAGGTGCTTCAAAGTGGGCTATTTTGGCCCACCATCCATAGAGATGCCTATAATTTTTGCAAGGAATGTGAGAGATATCAAAAAATGAAATCAATGTCGAGACGAGACATGATGCCCTTGACAAATATTCTTGTTGTTGAAATCTTTGATATTTTGGGCATTGATTTTATGGGTCATTTTCCTATGTCTTATGGATTTTAATACATTTTGCTTGTTGTTGATTATGTTTCTAAGTGAGTGGAGGCTTGTGCTACCAAAACCAATGACCACTCCGTGGTTGTTTAATTCATTAAATCCAATATATTCACTCGTTTTGGTATGCCAAGAGCCATGATTAGTGATGGAGGAAAGCATTTTTGTGATCAATTCTTAAAACAATTATTTCTTAAGTACTCCGTTACTCATAAAGTCGCCACTCCTTACCATCCTCAAACAAGTGGGTAAGTAGAAGTTTCAAACCAGGAAATCAAACATATTCTTGAGAAAACGGTCAACACAACCCCGAAGGATTGGTCACGTAAGTTAAATGATGCTTTGTGGGGTACATACTTTGTTGATTATTAAATTGGTTATATCTCAATTGGGCTAGTAGTGCATTGAAAGCTTTCATTTTGATAAAGGTGGATAATAAACCCTTTTCATTGAGCAGCCGGGATTCTAGCTTCATTAAGCATTGAATTTCTCGCACCGAAAGGTGGAGGGCCTAAACTCTAGGTTAATAATTGAACTTGCTAAAGAAAAAAAAAATGAGGACTTCTCCCAAGAAGTGAGAAGTGGGAAATGATTAGATGGGGGTTATTTTGATTTATAACCTAGTTGATTTGAGCTTGTAAGTCCTTAAGGGTGTTTGAACACCCAGTGCCCTAAAGCCATCTGGTTTGAGAGTCATTAATCTAACGCTCGACATCATGGATCGCTAGAAAGCTTAATAGATCAACACATTACACCATGCTTCCATCTTTGATCCTTAGGATTAGGAGGGAAAAAAAAAAAAAAAAATCGAGTGAAAAGAATAAGTGCACTGAGATCAATAAAGCTTTAATAAAAGGTTCACTCTAGTTGGCTTAAATAACAACATACTTGATGCTGGTCCACTCAAAAAGGATTATAAAGTTGTTTTGATTTGCATGTTCATTTTCTTGATATGTGGAGGACCATACTTTCTTGCTTGATGTTAAAATTTTGGGAGATTGCTTGAAAATTGTTGAAAAATTGCATACTTGAGGTAGTTTTCTCCCAATGCTTGTTTACAATATTGGTGCCTCTTTTGTGAGAATGAGTTTAACGTTTGTGGGTATCATTTTTGGAAACCCTTACGAGACTTCACTCATCCACTAGGGGTAACTTAGGGGTTTAAAAGACTTGTTGTATATGCTAAATGCAATCATGTTCCCTACGAAAGTGGCATTTTACATTTATTGCTTTTTAGTTCATACTTGTATGGTTGTTCATTTCTTTCCTTTACTTTGTAGTTCATTGTTAGGGATTAGCAATATTTAAGTTTGGGGGTGTGATGAGCGCTGAAAAGTGCGCATTTAAACCCCTCACTACAAGAAAAGTGGGTTTTTACGACATCTTATTTACGGGGTTTCTTTATTTTGCCTCGTGGAAACTATTTTTAACGGGGATTATGAGAGGATCCTTGTGGTTGGTATATAAAGGGACATGTTTTCAAAGGGATTTAGCAAGATCCTCATTGAAAATGTTTTTTATGGCATTTTAAAGTCCTCGTGGATATTTAAATATATTAAGGGCATTCTTGTTAACTTTAACGCGAGAAATAACCCTTGTTAATAAAGTGTTAAAATTTGACATTTAAGGGACAATTTTTGTCCCATGAATAAGTAGAAAGAGTTTCCCCAACTTTTTTTTAACCTCCCGCCGAAGGGGTCACAATAAAAATTACATTTACGGCGTTTTAGAGTCCTCGTGGATATTTAATAACATTTAAGGGATATTTTTTGTCCCGTGAATAAGTAAATTTTTATCCGGCCCAATTAAAATTGCACTCTATTTAATTTAATTTATTTATTTATTATTATTATCTTTTTAACGGCATTTTAAAATTCTCGTGGATATTTAATAACATTTAAGGAATATTTTTTGTCCCGTGAATAAGTAAAAAGACTTCCTACCAAATTTTTTTACCCTCCCTCCAAATTGGACACAATTAAAATTGCACTTTATTTTATTTTTTATTTTTAACAGTATTTTAATATCCTTGTGGATATTTAATAACATTTAAGGCATACTTTTTGTCCCATGAATAAGTAAAAAGACTACCACTTTTTTTTTACCCTCCCCCAAATTGGGCACAATTAAAATTTCACTTTATTTTATTATTATTATTATTATTTTTTAATGGCCTTTTAAAATTATATTTAATAACATTTAAGGGATATTTTTTATCCATGAATAAGTAAGACTTCCCACCAAATTTTTTTACCCTCCCTCCAAATTGTACACTGTTAAAATTACACTTAAAAATATATATATAAATAAATAGAAAAACCTAATTCACATTTCGCATTAACCTCAAACACAGAACAAACACAGAAGAAGAGGAGGGGAGAGACAAATCAGAGGGGAGCAGCGACGAAGAAGAGGGGAGCGGCCACCAGCGATATTTCTTTTCCCTCTTTCAATCAAACCTAACGTTTCTCTCCATGAGCCTCTTTCAGTTGGCCATCGATCGAAGCAAGCGGCAAGCCCTAAGCCCTAAATGATAACGCATGGCTCAGAGACGAAATTTGAAGATTGTGTTTGAATTTCTCTAATCTCTCTCGCCCTTTCTCTGATCGGTAAGCAACCCTAATTTATCTATGTCCAATTTCTTTTTCACACATAAGTTGTACACACTGACACAGTCGCGCGCACACACACATGTATTTGTAGTTGTGTGTATATATTGAACTGAAAGTCTAAAATACACAGTCGTCTTTCTGTCTCTAGGAAGGGAAAGTCTTGTTGGTGTTTGCTGGTTCAATAAGTGAGAATCTGAAGGAGGAGGAAACCCAGCTCTCTCTCTCCTCTCATAGTATGTTTCACCCACAATCTCTCTCATTTATAAGAAATGTGTATAAATATATACTTACATGTGTATATGATGTTTTTCAGTTTGGTTTAGAATCTCTATTGATTATAGCCCTTGTCTTTTACAATTTATGATATATGGAATACACTCCTTGAAATTGAAATTATAGATCTGTGTTAATTCAATTTTTTATTTTTAATTTCATTAATTTTTATTATTATTATTATTATTTTTCTGATTACAATTCGGAGACGGACAACATTTCATAATTCACAATGTCGAATTCAGGTTTAGCACTTTCTATTATGTGAGTTGTGATATTCAGGTCCAACATTCTGGTAGAAATGCTGGGACTAGCTAAGTCACACGTGAATCCTTCTCTAATGCGCGCAGCTCGCTACATATGATAATTGCCTAACATTTCGGCTAGAATGATGAACAAAAGTTTCTATATATATAGAAATAACTCTTAATTTGAATATAATGGTGAGGTAATTGATCTAAGTGGAATATTTTATTTATAATTAATTCATACAATTAATATTAGGATAGTCAACATTAGCAATTAGTGGTGCAAACACCTCTAGCTCTTTGAGATGAAGTCCGGATGGAAGATGCCCACTGTACAAGAGAGATCGGGTCTAGCTAGAAGGGCTGGAGAATATGGAAACAGCAAATGGAACTGAAAGTGATTAGGAAAAGGTGGGTGGATATAGCTTCTTCAGGAAGAAAAAAAAATGTCAATAACCCTGATTTTGATTATTGGAATCATCTCTCTATAACCAAGTGAATGAATCATGGCCTACCTAAAAAACACTTTTACTTTTTTATTGCAAATTGTTACACATGTTGTTTTTAATTTAATTGATCATTTATTCCCGCCACTCAAATGATAACGGATGACTATCAAAAGATTGTGTTTGATTGTTAAAAAAAGTTGTAAATTATTACATGCCCAAATCAGAGCACTTTTTCTATTACATCCAAGCTTCCCTTGAATGATCCAAGTATAGCTCATTTGTTTGAACCAAAAGCTCTTGCAGTCTAATGTTCTCATTTCGAGTGGAGCGTTCTTAATTTCGACTTAAATCTTTCATCATCTTTAATGATATGGTGTTTCGTTTGGTGTCCCAAAAAAAAAAAAAAATCCAAGTATATGTCACCTTTTGTCTAGGGTGTATTATTATACATTGTACTTAATTTTAGTCAACCCATAGAAGATCTTGTTTCAAGGTCTATGTCACACCCCAAAACCATAGGGCGTGATAATAAGGTTAAAACAAAAATAATGGAACAACAGTTTTCAACTTAAGAAAATTCTGCGCAGCGGTTACTCAAAAAAACATAGAAAATTCAATTATTATCGAAATGAAGCAAACTAAATTTTTTTAGAAACTAGACTCAGATGACAATGTGACCGAGTCACTCCCGGATGCTAGAAAAACACTGAGGAAAACAGTTTTTGGAAGGAAGAAAGCTCTCATAGCTTGTGCTGAATTGGAACCAAGTGCAAAACTTTGACCTGCTTAGTCTTTTAGAGAGCCAATAAAATTTTGGGGCCTTAACCTTTAGAAGCTAGACACTTGAAATAATAAAACTGGAAATTTTCATAATTTATTGATTTCGGGAAGGCCGTCAAATTCTTTTCTCAAATTCAGTTTCCAAACTGTGACCAGAAACCAAACAGCAGATGATATTAGATTTTTTTTAAAAATATGCACCAATCGAAAAATTATAAAAATTTTATGAGAGACTTTATACACAAAGGGGAACATATGGTAAAAATTTCACAGTTTTTGAAGCACTACAACCTCTGATTAAAATTCGTTTCCAAGAAAGTACTACAGGAAATTTAAAACAGATTTTTTTTTTTTTTTTTTCTTTTTCTTTAAATAAAACCCTCTAACAGAAAATTCAGAGCTTACCCCCATGAACAAATTATATAATACTTAGGCATAACAAAGATCTAAAGAGGCTAAGAATATATACATTGCATAAAGTCATCCGTAGAAAGATAATTTCAGTCCAAATTTGTACACCCAAAATAAAGAGTCACAACTCTGATGCCCAGTCACTAAGTACATATGCTACCATTAGCAGGCTATACACAAAACATCTATATACAGTACCCAGTCCTAAAGAACACATAGCAGAGAGCATGTTGTCATCTTCACTCTAGCACAGCAACCACGACCTTAACATGGTTTCACAAGGCATCAAACATGAACAAAATAATACTTCAGGCTAATATTTTACTCAAAAACACCAAGCACAAGATGCTCCACAAAAGGATCCCATCTGTGGGAACTCAAGCTCAGTTCTAGCATTGTCGTCCTGAGCAACAAGACCTGAAAATAAAAGGGGTGAGACAATGCCCAGTAGGAAAGCCTTTAACAAATGCCTCCATGAGGTTTTAGGTACATGATCTGATTTACATGAGAATTCGTTGGCCATTTTCTACCAAGACCAATTATAAAATGATGGAATTTGAAAAAAAAAAAAAAAAAAAAAAAACAGTAGCTAAAAGAAAATACCAGTTCCAAAACCATTTGAGAGTTAAAGTGAGTTAGTAAAGAGCTAGTCTTCATTTGGGCCTTTTGTCAAACAAATTTACTTCAATTAGAGTGATCCCAACTATCTCTTCCCCTTCGACTAGTAGGGATTCAACTACGAATACCCATCTAGGGTCTACCGCTGCGGGTTTATGGTCTTTCACCAACAGGTAGCTCATACCCAATTGCTCACCCCTTTCGCCTGGGACATCACCCTCCCAGTCCCAAAGTTAAGTAATAGAATAATTCAACCCAAACAATTTAAGACAACTCAATTACAACATTCCAGAATCTAAACAGAATTATTTTGGTGTAAAATTGATAATATACATTAGTCTATCAACATGCTAAGTTCTGATTGGAAAACATTTACCCGTGTAGAGTTCTGAAATAAAATTATAAGCAATACTTGTATGTAACCAAAACTCAGATCATGACCAAGCATATGTATAATATCTTAGCTAAAATCAAGCATTTGACTACAAGAAAATCATGTACTTGTAACAAGAAAAACTATAATTTCATGGAACATTAAATTGGGAAACAGAACTTTTAAAAAAAATAACTCTCAAGGCTGCAAGACTTAAAGAGAATCCCCACCCAATTGAAGGTAACAACTGGAGGTGGTGAGATTAGATGGTGTGTGGGTAAAATGCCTACATTTTCAGCCTTAATCCGAACCCTTCTTCTTCTTCTTCACTTTCTGTTTTTCTTTCTCTCTGTCAAAAAACCCAACCCCAAGGCACAAGCTCTCTTCGAGATGATGGAGTCACTCATGTACTTGGTCCGGAACGTAAAGGCCGAGTTAGAGGCCTTGGTTTTGGAGCAACAATCTCCAAAATTGAGGCAAATGGTTTTCAAAGGGTGCAAGCAAAAAGAGTAGAAGAAATAGTTGAACAAAGAGTAGAAAAAATCAAGCATGAAATGAGAAATGAGATGAAATCTGAGATTATGAATAAGATGAAATCTGAGATAATGAATGAGATGAAAGCCTTGTTGGTAAGTGTTACAACAAGTTATATACGTATTATTTTCTGCCTATATAGCATTTGAATTTAATGTACTAGTTTTTTTTAATCCATGTTTTTATTAATTGTAGTCCCAAAATGCTAGCGCTGGTTCTCAATCTAATACTATGCCAAGTCCTATATAGAAGATCTATAAGGTTTAAAATGTGAGTTGTTACACTGGAATGGGTCAGGTGTAGTTGTTGCCAAGGCTGAGATTGCAGCAACGGATCCTAAAGCGTTAGAAGATCATTTTCCAATTGGTCCAAATTGTTGGAAAGTATGGATTGATGATATTTTGGTCGGCAACTGTCCTTTGTATCGAGCAAGCCTAAATGGAAATTTTTATCTTCGTAATGCTAACACAAGCTCGGTTGTATGGCCTAAGAAATATGTGAAAATTATTCAGGTCAATTATTCATTCATTAACTTATTATTATATTTCTTAAATTAGTCTTGTTGGCATTACATTTTTGAAATATTTTTTTCTGACAAGATTGATTATCACTAGTTCATAAGGAGCAGAAGAATCAGAATTTCTATGATTTCAGTCTACAACAAAGGTCAAATACTATGCCTCTTTTATATTGCATAATTTTAATGCTTTTTATACTCATACTTAGGGAGGTCACGTGCCTTTAAGTGACCAATTTTGCGGTGTATCTTGAACTTTATTACCTTATTGGTACATCGGCCCGTGTGGAGGCCATTTTTATTTCTTGTTTTAAAATGTTGAAAGTATGGGAGTATGGAATCATTGTATGTGGAGGTTTTGATTGATTGTTAAGGAGAAGAAGTCGTTGATATGTTACTTATACCTTTACTTTAAATTGGAGAACAATATTTGTAGGTAAATTGGAGAATGACTTCTCCATATTCTAATTATTTATGACCCTATACTAATGAGCAGACATACCACATATCATCAGAGATAATGAGAACCAATCCCGGAATTATAATTTATTTCAATCAGGCCTTATCATGAAAAATCATTCCTGAGCACACACGTATGTTGCATCCCACATCTAAAAGGATTTAAACTAAAAAAATATCATACTAAAACCTTTAAATTAACACTTCCCATGTTCTCTCTGGAGGGTAATTGCTTAGTTATATATGGCCGGTTCTATTAATCCATGGATAATTAACGTGTAAAAGACTTGTTAACATAGCACAGATGTTGAAAAAATATTCAGGTTAGTTGGACTTGGAAAACTTGCTACCATAACTTAGGTTACTTTGCTTATGAAAAATGTCCGAAACACTGGATGAAAAAACTTGCTACCAATGGAAGGGAAGTTTAGAAAAATGTCTGAAACACTGGATGAAAACAAGCTTCATGGGCATGCTGGAAATGTTATGGGCACTTGAGAACTATACAAATAACAATAATAATAATCTTTATATCATGGATGGTGACTAAAATTTTTTTTTTTTTTTTTTTTTCATCACGTCTTTCTTCCATCATCACCAAATAGCACCATTAACATTACACATATATAATTATGAAATAAATAAAAAATCAATTCAACTCATTAAAGAATTCTCCAATTAAATAATTAATAACTCAAATCTCATTACGTAAGCCTCCAATTTAAAATTAAAATACCCAATCTTAATAATTAAAAATTATGAAATAAATATAAATTTCGAATTCGTAAAAATTCGGGTTGTTACAGGGCCAAGTAACTCAACCACATTAGTGCGATCTCCCTAATCCCCTGTAGGCCTCACTAACGCCGCGGTCCCTAGGCAACTCCTAGGCGGCCGGGTTTTTCATAAAATCCTTTTCAAAATTCTTTTCCAAAATCCATTTCATTACAGAAACAGTGGAAGGAACACACACACACATAAAAGTACTATCTACCATTTATCACACTAATTGTTACATCATTTGAGGATACAATGTCTCGACTTTCCTTCCAAGATTCATCCATGTCTATAGAGCTTCTTCTCATTGAGGTAAAACTCGGTCGTCTCGGCATCTGCATACTTGTACTTTGACCCTCCAACATCAGCAACACATATGACATTGTTGGTCTGTCAAATGCCATGTCCACTACACACACAACATCCCTACTTGTATGCATCTCAACACTTCATTTTGGCAACATGAATCTGCAATTTTAGGATCAATCATCTCCATTGCCTTATCACCATCCCATAAGTCCCATGCCTGAAACATTTCCAACATTTTGTCAAATTATACACATCAAAGTAAAGAAAAGAAAAGAAAAGAAAAGAAGATTTATGTATAGACTTACATATCCAATAATATTTGAGTGTTCCGGTGAACGAAAACTAGTGTTTCTTCGGCCGGTTATAATCTCTAGTATTAATACTCCAAAACTATACACATCAGACTTGACAGAAAATAGACCTTCCATTGCATACTCAGGAGCCATATAGCCGCTACATTTTACAAGTGATCATGGAATTCAAGTTAGCAAATCTTTGAGGATAAAAGATAAAGACTGATTTTCTGTGTTGTAATTTGGCAATTAGTGTAATCTCATTCTTGAACTCCTCCAAGCCTTGTCCAGATTTTCTTGAAAGCCTCTTTACAGCTATTTCTTGTCCCCATGGCAACTTTCCCTGTTAAGCATTATAAAAGTTAGCAGCACTTTAGTGCATTCCAATACACAATTAACCTTCAATTTTTACCATTTTTTTGTAGAAAATTAAAGAACATACCTTGTAGACAGGGCCAAATCCACCTTGTCCAAGCTGGTTTTCATTTGAAAAATTGTTTGTAGCTAAAGCCACAGTATTAAAATCGAGGAATGATAATTCTGCTCCGCTTACATGCTGCCCTTCAACTCTAAGGTCATCCGGTCCAGAAAGATCTATCGAAAGTTCCTCACTTCTGCGTGCATAAAGCATCAGTAACTCATTGTTCTTCTGCGATGGATTCAAGAATGCTGTAGTGAAGAATCAACAATTAGCATAAACAGTCAAGATAATTAACAAAATAACAATACAATTTTCATTTCACTTTCTAAAATTTACCTTTCAATTTTGCTCTGAACCTCCATAGTAGCCAAATGGAAACACTTAGAAAGAATGTGCCCACCACCACTATTGCTATTATTACAAATTTGGATATTTTTCTCCCACCACCTATGTTAGAAGAGAAACAAATACAAAAGACATTATATTGTTTATAATTGAACAATTAAAAGAATCAAAGAACTCTAGCTTGCTCCACAAAAAAGCAAAAACTATTTGAAAAGGTCAATTCATGAGAAATTTCTGATATTTAGATATCCTATTCTGCTAGAGTTCTAATCAAGTATATTCATAAGAAATTTCTGATATTTATCCTATTCTCCCTATAGGAGGTAAAAATATCTCTTAAATGTTAGAAATTCTAACAGCAGCAAAAAGTATATTCATGAGAAATTTCTGATATTTATCCTATTCTTCCTATAGGAGGTAGAATATGTCTTAAATGTCAGAAAGTCTTAACGGCAACAAAAATTATTATATGATATAATGAAAATTCAAAATGCTAACAACAGCAGTGACATATACAATTGAAAGTTTCATCTTACCTAATTCAGAATTCGCGAGATGAATGTAGAGCGTGTTCCCACCATCTGCAAATTGCTGAAGATCAACAAAATCCCCACTCCACATCATGTAGCTGATCCTACTTACGTATGCATATGTTTTACATGAACAATTATTCAGACACATATCTCTGCAAGCATTGATATCATCTGATCCCACGTTGTCCACGAAGTCCGGTAACTTCATCCCCTCAACCTTGACAAATCTCATCTTCTTCCCCATTCCCTCCCTTAACTAGGCTGTTATTCCTCTCACACTGCAATTGTGTCCTCCTAACACACCCTCCTGACCAATTCCCTCTATTCCATTGATCCAAGTCTTTTGCTACAAACCCTTCAATATGTACAACTTAAACTTCATTAAGATTTCAAATGGTAGATTAGTCACACAACTCACACATTAATAATCACACCGACAATGATTATACTTGAACAAATTTATCATCCATTTTGTTCATTTCCATTGACTTAGACCCAAACAATTAATTAAACTTATAAGTCAGCATAACTTTACTATAATTTAGATAATCTAAGTGAGCACTCATGTCATGTGCATTACATGACTTGCCGCCCTTAGTGGGGATCATATAAGAAAATTTAACTTAGTAGAGAACAATATATAAAAGCTTAATTAAATGCTTTTTTTTTTTTTTTGGGTAGAAAATTGAAGAGAATAAGTCTATGCAATTAATTAAACACCATATTAATAAATACATGAAAGACATTGGCCACAAAATATGTTTGTTCATAAAGGTTTGCCCTTTTTGGACCAGACTAAGGGGCTCCACAGACCGCCCATCCCATCTTTGCTTAATTAGAAAAACTTTTTGATCACATGAAACCAAAAATTCAATGGTTTTCACGTTTTATTCAATTCAGTAATAGTTACTCAACCAATTAGGTCAAAAAATATATTGTGTGTTTGCTTTACAATCCCAAAAAAAAAAAATAATAAAATAAAATAAAATAAAATAAAATTTAAGCAAGCTGGATTGAGTTTGTGTTAACTCAATCCAGCTTGCTTAAATTTTATTTTAATTTTTTTTTTTTTTTCCTATTTGGTACTCACACACACTGCCTCCACTGAGGTTCGAACCCCTGATCTCCCTTTGAAAAGTAGGAGCTTTATACCGCTAGGCCACAGGCCTGTTGGTTACCCTAAACATCATTAAAAAAACATGTCAAAAATATTTTGATATAAATATTTCCTTGGAATGTGAGATTAGAAGTCTGAGCTCCACAATAGATATTTGTAAATGTGTATGAATATTTATTTGAAATTTGTTACACAAACGCTTCTCATATTAGACTTATTAGATGACTCAAATATTGTTGGTTTTTTATATCTCCAAACAACACAATGATAGAATTGATTTAAAAAGAACTCATAGTGTTGCTCAATAAGATTTCAATTTCCAACAGGTCTGATGCTTGCAAATTTCTTTTTATTTAACTTAAAATATATATATTCACACACATTCATATATATATATATATATATATATATATATATATGTATGTATGTATATATATATCTCGAGTCATGTGAATGATCTGTGAATATATAAGTGAAGGCACAAACATTTATCACTCACCAATCAACATGCATGTGGGTTGCTTTGACAACACTAGTTTCTAGGAAAAAACGAAAAGCAACAATTAAATTTGGTGTAATCAGTTTCACACAGTGAAGTTGAATATAAGTAAGAAAATATAGTAGTGTCATAGTTTGTACTGATAAGCGCCAAATATTACATATTCAATCGTCCTTTCTTGCATTAGTTAAATCCATTATTAGAGGATAATGTACAACTTTAATTCAGTTGTGTATTTCTTTCTGATTTCAGGTATTTTTCCCAAGAATGATCAAAGAAGCGGTTTTGATAACTTTCCGTTGAAATACGTGCGCCGTGTCGGGGAGTCATCTTTTGGACCTGACTTCTTCTGTTGCCGTTTTGTGAAGTCATGACTGAGTGTTCGTCATGGAAGTGCGTCCATGGTCCGGCGTGAAGAAGCCTTGTTAATGTAGCAGAGGCAAGCTCCCGCGGGCGCCCGCCGAACCCCTCATCTTTCTACCCCATTTCGCTGGGCCTTGCTGAGCCCTTGCGGGAGCCCCTGCGAGCCACCGTGGGGGCCCACCGCGCCATCGCAGGCGCCCGCCAAACACTCAGTCCCCCGCAAGCCACCGCAGGTAACCCGCCAACCTGCTGCAGGTAGCTCAACTGCCCCTGAATTTCAGCATTTTTGTCTCCTTATCTTCATTTTGTGTGGCTTATCTTGATGTAGAGGGGGGAGCTCGGGATTTAGGGGGTATGGTGAATAGGTTTTGGTTGGAATAAAGAGGAGGCACACATCTCATTTCTCAAATCTCAAGTTTTGGGGAGGCAAAGGGCTAGAGAGAGAAAGGAGTGTTCTTGAGTTTAGGGTGTGAAAATGGAGAGTGGTTCTTCCTCTTCTTCTTCATACTTTGTAATTATGGGTAACTAACTCCCTATTTAGAGAGGTGATGAAGCTCCATCTTGTAAGCATTGCTCTATTTTGATTTATATTTGGGGATTAATGTATATGTGTGATTTTTCCATGAACTAGAGCAATTTATGTTATGTAAAGAACTCCAATGCTTATAAATGATCATTTTGGGTTAATTATTTTGTTTTAGATTATTTTTCTCTCATAATTATATTGCTCCATTTTCATAGTGACAATGGGGATGAGTTCATGGAAGTGTTTTTATTGGCATGATATTTAGGAATTTTGATAATCTATTGGTTAGGGCTTTCCTTTGATAGATTCTTCTTAATTTCTATTTCATGTGCTCCTATTATGAGATTAAGGGCTTGATGATCTATGGCTTAGTGATCATGTTTAAGGTTGTATCCTAGTTTAGGTGACCAAAACATGTAGTGCTTAGATAGGTTATTCTTGCTTATTGATTTTATAATTTTCTTGAAGGAAATATAGCTACTTTATGTTGTTATATTCTTTGGTCATTTATATATGTTACTTCTCCAAAGTAAATCATGCCATAACATGCTTATTCATAGATAGCGAATTCAACTCCCTAACTCCCATTTCTTATTATCTTTATCTCGGACTCCCTTGCATTATCAATTTATGCACATTTTAATTCCTACTTTTAGTGACAATTTAACAAATCCTCTATAAACCCCTTTATCATTCTAAAAGATGATTCTAATTACTTAGGTTGCCATAAACTAGCAGTCCCAGTAGTTCGACTTACCCGACCAATAGTCCTATTTTATAATGATTTGTGCTATTGCAAAGGTTGATGTATAATTGACAACCGATCAATTTTTGGCGCCGTTGTCGGGGATTTGCACACGGTTTAGCAACCGAAGTTTTAGGGTTAATTTTGGCTTGATTGTCAATATTGTGATTTGTGAATATTTTTTGTGCGGTTTTGACCATCTTGCTGTTGAAAGTTGTTTGTGAGATTTTAAGGACTTGATGCTTGCTGAGGGACGCTAGTAAATTTGTAAGTCTAGAGGACTCCAGGTAAGTCTCTTGGGCTTTTAGTTTCGAAATTGTTAATATTGTCTATGTATAATTTGGTAATAGTTAAGTTGTGAAGCCTTTGTTGAGGCTATTTTTTTGTTTATTTTCAATTGCAAAGCATTAGTCCTTGTTGTGGCCATTTAATTTCTGTCTTGATAATTGAGGAAAAAGGGAACATCGTATGTGGAGTTGATGATGATGATTTATTGTATTTATTGTAGGATGTGTTGTTGATGTTTGGCCGTAGATCACTCTCCCTACCAACTCTAGAATCTCCAGTTGATATAAATTCTCTTGAAAGAACTCTTAGACGAACCCTTAGGGAATCTTCTAGCATAAGAGTGCTTGAAAATGAATTTAACACAATGGATGAAAATGTAGGAAATGTCGGAAATAAGGGGATTAATAATGATATGGCCGAAATTCCAAATGTGGTTCCCATGACTCCAAGGGACCACTTCATCCCTACCACTTATGCTTCTCTGTTGCATAGTGATGCCAAATATTGAGGCCGCTCAATATGAAATCAAATCTAGCACTATCCAAATGCTTCCATCTTTTCATGGCTTTGAAAATGAGGACCCTTATAGGCACCTTGATAAATTCCTTGAAAGATGCTCTACCATCAAGTTGAGGGGCTTTCGTGATAATGCTCTCCAATTGTATCTCTTCCCATTCTCATTAAAAGAACGGGTAAAATATTGGTTGAACTCCCTTACTGCGAATTCCATCACCACATGGGCTCAACTACAGCAAGAATTCTTAAAGAAATATTATCCAGTAAGTAAAACCAATTTAATGAGGCGTTCCATTCTTAGTTTTTCACAAAGCGAGGGGGAACAACTCCATGAGACTTGGGAGAAAGGGAACATCGTATGTGGAGTTGATGGTGATGATTTATTGTATTTATTGTGGGATGTGTTGTTGATGTTTGGCCGTAGATCACTCTCCCTACCAACTCTAGAATCTCCAGTTGATATAAATTTCTTGAAATAACTCTTAGACGAACCCTTAGGGAATCTTCTAGCATAAGAGAGCTTGAAACTGAATTTAATACAATGGATGAAAATGTAGGAAATGTCGGATTTAAGGGGATTAATAATGATATGGCCGAAATTCCAAATGTGGTTCCCATGACTCTAAGGGACCACTTCATCCCTACCACTTATGTTTCTTTATTGCATAGTGATGCCAAATATTGAGGCCGCTCAATATGAAATCAAATCTAGCACCATCCAAATGCTTCCATCTTTTCATGGCTTTGAAAATGAGGACCCTTATAGGCACCTTGATGAATTCCTTGAAAGATGCTCTACCATCAAGTTGAGGGGCTTTCGTGATAATGCTCTCCAATTGCATCTCTTCCCATTCTCATTAAAAGAACGGGTAAAATATTGGTTGTCCCTTACTGCGAATTCCATCACCACATGGGCTCAACTGCAGCAAGAATTCTTAAAGAAATATTATCCAGTAAGTAAAACCAATTTAATGAGGCGTTCCATTCTTAGTTTTTCACAAAGCGAGGGGGAACAACTCCATGAGACTTGGGAGCGATTTCAAGACCTCTTAAGGAAATGTCCACACCACCTAATTCCAAAATGGCAATTGGTGCAAGCTTTCTATGCTGCGTTAACCAACCCACATAGGTTAATGGTTGACTCATCTTGTGGAGGGATGTTCATGTCTAAAAGTGCGGATAAGGCATGGACCTTACTTGAAAATTTGAGTGAAAACTCATTGCAGCATAACTCTCGTAGTGGTCCAATCTCAACCAATACAAAGAACACCAACCTTTGTCAACAAAAAACAATGAGGGAGGAATCTTCCCAGGTGGATGCCATAGCTTATAAATTCTATCAATTGATGGCACCACATCTCTCCCCCTCTTTGTCTTAAAATTCGGCAAGTGCGGTTTGTGCATCATGTACTAGTCCATTCCATCTTTCAGAAGATTGTCCCACACCGGAACAATTTCCTAATTCCAATCAAGAGCAAGCAAATGCAATGTTCTCAAGGCCTAGAAATAATTCATATTCCAATACTTACAATCCCGGATGGAGAGATCATTCGAATTTCTCGTGGAGGCAACAAGCTCCACAAAATTCAAATTTTCAAAATCAAGGGTAACAAAATCAGCCCTCTTCTCAATTTCAAAATAGGCAATTTCAGGCCTCCTCAAGCTACCGTCCTCCATACAATCCAAATGTCTCCAATCAACCCCATGTGTTCCCAACTGATGAGATTGTGGCTGCAAATAAGCAAATGATGGAATTATTGAATAAGCAAATGATGGATTCCAACAAGCAACTCTTGACATCTTTGCAACCCACTCTCCAAATGGTTCATTCTCATACTCAGTCCATAACTAAGCTTGAGAATCAAGTGGGCCAAATAGCTAACTCCATGAATCAATTGCTCTAAAAGGACAAGGGCAAGCTTCCCGCTCAACCATTTGAAAATCCGAGAGGGATGCATGTGATTGATGGATCCCCTCCTCCGAGTGGGCCAATTCATGAACAAGTCCAAGCAATCACCACCCTTAGGAATAGTCGTGTTGTTGACAACAAGGTTGATGGAAACAAGGATGAGAAAAATTTTCCTTCGAAGAATCCAAATCTAATTCCCAGCTCTTCTAATCCAAATCCTACTCATGAAAATCCCAAGCTTGTCACCCCAAATGTGGAAACTTCTTATGAGCCTAAAGCTCCGTTTCCTCAACGTCTCCAAGAGTCGACACATATTGGGAACAAGAATTGCAAAATTCAAGACATGTGGGAAGTTTTCAAGCAAGTAAAAATCAACCTGCCTCTCTTGGATGCTATAAAGTAAATCCCTCCCTATGTAAAATTTCTCAAGGATTTGTGCACTCAAAAGCGCACTTCCAAATATCATTTGCCAAAGAAAGTGAGATTAACTGAAAATGTGAGTGCAATCATTCAACATAGTGCTCCTTCAAAGTATAAGGATCCGGGCGCCCCCAACTATCTCGTGTGTCATTGGCGACAACAAGATAGAAAGGGTCCTCCTTGACCTATGAGCTAGTGTAAATTTGATTCCATATTCAGTTTACTTACAGCTTGGGTTGGGAGATCTAAAGCCAACCTCCGTGGTCTTGCAGCTTGCCGATAGATCGGTCAAGCACCCACGAGGCATTCTTGAGGATGTCATTATCAAAGTGGACAAATTCTACTTTCCGGTAGACTTTGTGGTTCTTGACACCGAACCGGTCCATGACCCAAAGAAGCATATTCCCGTGATCCTCGGTAGGCCATTCTTAGTCATGACTACCGTTTCAATTAATTGCCGAACTGGGGTGATGGATATCGCCTTTGGAAATATGCAAGTCAAACTCCACATCTTCCATGCAACTCAACATCCTTCCGATGAGGATGATTGTTTCCTTGTCGATGTGGTAGATGAAGTGGTCGAAGAATCCCTCCCCTTCATTCTAAGCAAAGATCCTTTGGAAACTTGCATGTCTCATTTCGACTTCTCAAACTTTGATATTGACAAATCAATCCAAGAAGTCAATTCCTTGCTTGACATTAATGCTATCATGGATACTCCTCCATGGAAAATTCCAAAAGAACCGCTTCCTCAACTCTCTTCTACCCCTCCGGTCCCTTCCTTGGAGTCTCCTCCACAACTTGAGCCAAAGCCGCTCCCGGCTCACCTCAAGTATGTGTTTTTTGTTGTTAATCAAACTCTTCCAGTCATCATTGCTTCTGACCTTTTAAAGGATCAAGAAACTAACCTTTTAGCGGTGCTACAAGAGCACAAAGAAGCTATTAGTTGGGCAGTGGCTAATTTGAAAGGAATCGACCCTTCTATTTGCATGTATCGCATCCATATAGAGGAGGACGCTAAACCTTCTAGAGAGGTGCAGCGCCGGTTGAATCCCAATATGAAAGAAGTGGTCATGAAAGAAGTGATCAAGCTATTGGATGCATGAATCATCTACCCTATCTCCAATAACAAATGGATAAGTCCCACTCAAGTTGTTCCTAAGAAATCCGGCCTCACTGTCATTGAAAATTCTGTGGGAGAGCTCGTGCCACAACGCATCACCACCGGTTGGCGTGTGTGCATTGACTAACGGAAACTTAACTCTACCACTAGGAAGGATCATTTTTCACTCCCAT